CCCCCCCCCCCCCGCGCACACACACACACACATACACACACACACATACACACACACACACACACATACACACCTGCAGCGTCGTGAAGCCCGGCGGCCTGGCATGTGTGATCGGCCCCGTGCACCCCACGCACCCCGTGAGCCGCTTCTTTGCCGATGCGTGGATGCTGTTCCCCACAGAGGAGGAGTACATTGACTGGTTCACAAAGGCCGGTGAGATCACCGGTGATGGCAGCAGCAGCAGCGGCGGTGATGGCAGCAGCAGCCAAAGCAGCAGAAGCGATAACAGCAGCAGCAGCAGCAGCGACAAGAGCAGCAGCAGCAGCAGCAAAGTTTGGTGCTCGGACGGAGGGGTCGCCGCCGTGCGCCACTACGGGCGCTAGTTAAACAGGACCGCCGAGCGGTTGGACCCGCCGGACCCAAAACCCCGCCGCGACCCCCAGGTTTTGACGACGTGAAGATCAAGCGCATCGGGCCCAGCTGGTACCGCGGCGTGCGTCGTCACGGCCTCATCATGGGCTGCTCAGTCACCGGCGTAAAGCGCGAGGTGAGGCTGGGCGGCGGGCGTGCCGCAGGGGCGCTGCTGCCTGGGATCTTGCTCTTTTGGGCCAGGCTGCCATGTCTTTGAGGCTGACTGCTGCGCCGTTGTTGCCACGAGCGTAGGCCCTGCCGCAGGGTGTTTGCGGCCGCTCACAGGCTGCTGGCTGCCGCTGGTGCGATGGGCGACATCCATGCACATGCACACACGTCCACACACACACATGCGCGCGCGCGCGTGTGCGCATCCCTGCAGGCCGGCGAGTCCCCCCTGCAGCTGGGCCCTCCCAAGGAGGTCTCCAGCCCCACCCCCCAGAACCCCATCGTCTTCCTGCTGCGCATGCTGCTGGGGGTGGCGGCCGGCTTCTACTACTTTGTGCTGCCAGTCTACATGTACCTCAAGGTGGGGGCGATTGGTGGGACAGCAATCACGGTTTCATGCATCAAAGCATGACCTGCAACCAGGATTGCGTTCATCAATTGCCTTGCTGCAGGCAGGAATGTGTTGAACGAAGCTCCTTGCAATCAGGATTGTTGTGATCAAAATGGACATTTGCCAACTCACAACTCAAGCAGACCTCAACCAGGGGCTGTTGTGTGGGGGGAGAGGCGGATCCGGTGCTGTGCCGCCGGTCATGAAGCGCCGTGCCGGGCACCGTCCGCACCGCCGCCCCAACCCCTGGCCTGCAGCCTGCGCAAGCAATGCCTGATCCACCCCGTCTCGCGCCCATCCCTCTGCCCGCCCATGTGCCTGACGCCCTGGATCCCTCGCAGCACCTCGTCTGGTGAGCTTCTCTGGGTCTGCCCGCTCCTCCGCCTGCATGGCACGCACCCAGCAAGCCGGCTTGGTCGTCTGTGCACGCTCTCTCTATGACAGCAGCGGCGCCTGACACATGCACACACACACACCTACACACACACACACGCACACGCACACACGTCGTACCTCAGCTGTTCGCGCCCCCACCCTGCCACCGCTGTGACCCCAGGCCGAAGTCCTGGAAGATGTGAAGCGTTGCAAGCGCCGCACAGCGTGTGACCGGGGCGCCGGGAGCGCGAGCAGCAGCAGTCGGCCGGCTAGCGCCCAAGGGGCGCACAGGTCAGCGGCTCGGTTGGGTCCGAGGGCCCCCGCGCGACGCCGCCTGGGCCGCCCGCGTTCGCAACCACCCACGACGGTGTGCGTCGCGTCTCCTCGGGTGTCCGCGGGTGCAAACACTGGGCGTTTAGGCCGCGAGCGGCGCATGCGGCAGCAGCTGCCCGGCGGCTGCCACATACTTTGCAGCTTTGGTCCCAGTTAGGCTTCGTCCCTCTAGCGGGGCGGGCGACACTGCATCGTGCTTGTTCGGCGCGCGACGTGCCAACCGGCGCGGGCCAGTCGCTGTGACTACTCGCGCACCTGCACTTTGCATGTGCCAGCAGCGGCGCAAAGCCGCTGATTTTACTCGCAGCTGAAGAGTCGCTTCGATGCGGCTGGGGCGTATATTTGCAGTGCTCATCCGGCTGCCGGCCATCCAGCCTGAAAGGCCAGCCGCGGACTCGCACCCGGCGCGCACACAGGCGGCTCTGCCCTGCCCTGTGGCAGCGGCTGAGCTTTTGTCATGCTTTTGATCCATGTTTGGGGAAAGGGTGGCAGCCAGCTGCTGCTGCTGCTGCTGCTGCTGCTGTGGTGCACTGGGCGAGCACTGTCTTTTGGTCCCCTGATTGCACTGCACGCTGCGCACATCGCAAGCAATTCCCCGCGTCGACAACTTGATGCAGCCCCGCAGGGACGGCGCCCCTACACCGGTTCAAGAATGCCATGCAATGCTATGCATGTGTAACATGCCTGTCGCATTTCCACATCGTGCGCTCATCGAATGCGACAACCAACAGCTGCATCCCAACAGCACTCGGGCCTGCAGACCCGCTTAGTGAAATGTGCGCGCACGCGTGTCACAGTCCCGCTTGCAACCGGGGCCCCGCTGTACGGACAGCGGCCGCCACCCTCCCCTTGCAAAACGATGGTAGGCCGCAGCGCGCCATCCCCTCGTACTACGCCTTGCCGCCGGCGCCCCCCTTCGCCGCCCACGCCGCAAACCCCGGCCCATGCCTCTCCGCCCACTCCGTGGCGCTCCAGACCAGGACCACGTTTGGCGGCGGCGACACGCCGTCCTGGCCGCTCTCAATCAGGTACCGCAGCCGGTTGACCCGCTCCGCGCTGGGGCGCGCCCAGAGGGTCAGGCGGCCGCCAGAGGAGACGCGCTCGGTCGCGAACGCGCGCCAGGCGGGGTTTTGGGAGGCGGAGAGGATGGACTGGATCTCTGCTCGCTTCTCAGCGATCTTCTCGGTGGAGGTCGTGATGAGGCTGTGAATTGTGCAAGACGAGAGCAAGGCAGGGCGGCAGGCGTGAGGGTGCCTTGTGAGCGTCGGTTCCATCATGATGCGCGCGGCATGCTGGCGTGGTGCTCATGGCAGATGGTGACAATTGTTGTTGGTGGGGGGGCCGCCCGCGCCCTCCCCCGCCGTGCCGTGCCACAGGCTGCTGCGGCTCCCACTAGGGCGGCATGCGGCCGGGCCGGGCCCCTGCGCACCTGGGCGTGTTCCTCGCGGCGGCCTGCGCCACCTCCAGGCTGCAGCCGAAAGTGGCCATGAGCCCCTCCAGGCGTTGCTTTATCCTGGCTTCCGAGTAGTTTCCCAGGCTGCCCGATGACCCGAGCATGGAGAAGTACTTGTCAGGGGCCACACCCAGCGCTGCGGCGTTTGCCAGGCACTTGTCCTGTGTATGGTGGGGCAAGGCGGGGGCGCATATGAGAGGTTGCATCGAAATCGGCGCTGGCTGTTGAAAGGGCCAGTGGACTGCAGAGCACACCACGGGGCGGCTTGGTAGGTCGCAGCGACAAAGCGCACGGTCGGTATGCCTGCACTCCCGGCGTCCAAGCCGTATATGATCACCTCGCTCCATCCCTGCTGCGCATACGCTGCATGCCGCGCATGCTGTACGCGCGCCTGTCGTCACGAAAGAAGGCAGACAGGCGCCCTGCGGCGCCCGCTTGGCGCGGCTCACCATGAAAGTGCTGCCCCGGGCGAGTATGAGCGGGTTCACCTCCACGACCCGCCTCAAGAGCAGCCCGGCGATGCCGCCTTCCGCCATCCTCTTCAGCGACGTGTCGACAGTGGGGGCGGGGTAGTCTAGGAGCTTGGGGAAGCGAACGAGGATCTTCACTGCCAGGGCCCTGTCGGCGGCGGCATCATCCCCTGAGCCGAGGTGGCTGATGAGCACTGCCGACATCGCGGCGTGCCGCGAGAGGGGCCACCTCACGACCTGCGTCGGGAGTGCAGCGGTGTCAGCACGCGGTTCACGAGCTAAGGCCGGCTGCGCGCTGCGTGAGCCGCAACCGACCCAAGAAGGGCCGCAATTCCAGCGTTGTTCCCCCTGCAGGCGGCCGAGCTTGCTGGCGCCTGCCTGTTGTCGCTGGGCGTTTTCCCAGCGGCTCACCCCGGGGTCGGACGCCACCATCTTTGCGGCGCTGGCGAGGCCGTACTCTCCCACCAGCTCGTCCACGGCCGCCAACAACTCCTCTCGGGTCTTTAGTGCAATGGCGGGTGGCCACGGGTGGGCGGATGTGAGTGTATGGTGGATCAAGGGCAGGTTAGTTGGCAGGTGCACTGCGCTGAACATCGGGATTTGCGAGGTTTAAGTGGTGCGGCAAGGGGTCCAGCAGCCGTGTGGCAGAATGACGCGCTCCATGAAACGCCGCAGGAACGACAGAGTTTCGCAAGTCACACAAGTGCTGAGTCAGCCAAGCCTCGATTCGTTCACGCCCACCATCGTGGCGACCATCCTGAAGCGCTCCTGATACGCATGCCTCTTGGTTTCTGTTATATCCACCTGCAGCTGCGACTCCTTGTAGGCATTTTGTGCGCGCAGCAGCAGCTCCGGTGTAATGCCTCGCTTCGCTGCCTCGGGACTGGCCCCGGCAGCGCTGCCTGAACGGCGTGTTGCATTTGTCGTCACACGTGTGGCTCCCACGGTAATCCTCGGTGCACACACTGAAGGGGGATTGACGGTCCATCTGAACGGACGCTGAGCCACGTGCAGCCCCATTTGCCTGCTGCAAGTGAAGCGCTGCCTCCAAGCACTGAGGGGGGACGCAGTGTCTGCGGGGGATCCAAGCGCCTTATAACTGAATTTTTGAGTAATAACATTACTTCTGTCAGTCCGAATGCATAGATATAGCGTGCCGCTGGGATCCAAAGCGGTTCGCGGAGGTTTCCTCGAAGCGACAGTGGCGGACCGGAAGGTATGACGAGTGTGCGAGCTCGGTTTTATATGAATAAGTAGTATAGTGCTTTCAAATTTCCATCTATTTGTGAACAGTCAACCACGATCCCCTCAGTCCCCATCTAACCACTGCGTTGCCTAGGACGACAGCGGGGACCCCACACATTACATACCATATCCCCACAGCCCCGGGCGGCAAGCGATTCCCTCACTGCGCATGATGGTTGTGTTGTGAGCTTCAGTCCCGTCGTATCATCCCGAGGCCTGTTGGCTGGATGGCTGCCACTCAAGTTGGTAGACCACCCAGACACAATCGTGGATGCGCAGCTCACAAGGTGAGCTGGCTGCGGGGCACACAGCCGAAGCGCCGACCTTCCCCTGGCACTGCAAAGTAATGACGGCGGTGCTGCCCCTTCCTGGCCACTCTCTATCACAAGAGCGCTGTGAAAGGCTGCCGGCAGAGTTGATACTCTTTTTCACAAAACACGCTCCTTGCAAGGCAGCGTGATCGTGATTAGCAAATTCCCATGTGGCCACATGCAGTTCTGTGACGTTTCTGTGGAGGTCAGGCTGAGGCTGTTAGTGATCGGGGGACACTAAGCCGTTGAGGCAAGGGCGAGATGGGAATGCATAAAGGGGCTTCAAGCACAACTTTATGCATGTGTGTTCGCCCAGCTTGGTTCCCTCTAGTGGGGGGCCGCCGTGGCGTGCCAACTGGCGGGCACACCGACCGCACCAAGTTTCCCTATGGTCGCTCGACCAACAGGCATCTGTGGGCTGTAGCCAGGGTCGGTCATCGGCCCCTGCATCTGTTGCTATGTCTCTTGGCTCGTGATCAATTGCCAAGGCTCTCTGCGAAGTGAAGACAGCCTTGGCAAAGCAACATGTCACCAAGGGCGCGCTCAGCACCGCAGCATGTCCACGGCTCCTAGCCACTCAGTCACAATGTGCTGGCGCATTAAATACGCTTGGCCTTGCAAGACAGGGGGGGCCGATGCATTGCATGCAGCGTCGAGCAGGTGCCCTGCTTGTGCTGCGTCACCAGGGCGATGACGGGAGGCAGTACCGTATGCTGTGGCCAGTCCAGTGCATCCCAGATATTGCGATCAGCAAGCAGTGATATATGGCGTCATTGTGATGCATCATGTTCGCAACCCCTCAGAGTTTTCCGGGGCACCGTATGGACAGGTCCGTGTTGACTTTCCAGGGATCTGCATTTGAAGAAACCATAAACAAGTACCGTGCAGTACGGTCAAATTTAAAAAGCTACCTCGAAAGTATGCTACATTAGGCGTACTGGTTGGGATGCCGCTTTTTCGCACCTGGGGCAGCCCGCTGTAGCGATGAAGTCAACGGAGTCCTTACTTGATTCAAGCACACTGACGGAAAAGGTAACATGGGAGCTTGAAGAGCTTGAGCAGGAGGTCATGGAGCTGGCGCAGCAGGAAAACGCGATGATGGCGTGTGCAGCCAGGGCGGCGCAGCACCGCCAGGGGCGACAACAGCCGCTGCGCCGCAAGCCGGCGCAGCGCTTGGCCGGCCCCAGCAAGCTGCGAACCGCCGCCAGGCGCCCGATCGCTGCCGTCCCAGCAAGCGCAGCCGCGCGGCCGCGCCGAGCTGGCGCCGCTGCTGCAACCAGCGACACGCAGCTGTCGGCGGCGACAGCCCAGCTGGTGCACCAGCAGCACCAGCTCACCGCGCTGCTGCGCACTCTCCAGTCCTCGCCGCCCCGCACGGCGCGCGCCAGCCAGCCGCAGCCCCGCCAGCCGCCGCCCGCGCGGCCGCGCTCGCC